GGTTGGGCCCTGCAGAGGCCAAACCCAGAGCTGAAGGCGGTGAGAGTCGGCACGCCAGATCTGACCCTTGAGCTGTGACAGAAGGTCCTTCCTGTCGGGGAGACGCCAAGGTGGGCTGCAGCAGAGACTGCGCAGCAGTGGGAACCAGACTCTCCCCGGCCAGCGGGGGGTGACCAGAAGGAGCCTGTGCCCCTGAGTAAGGACCTTCTGAAGCGTCTGCAGTATCAGAGGCAGCGGCGGGAAGGCATACAGGAGAGTGTCCGGCCAGTTGTGCGCCAGGGCATCCTGACCCAACGGGCTGGTCACCTCCGTCCAGGAGAACCAGAGGGGGCAGTGCCTCGACTCTTCTGAGGCAACGAGGTCCACCTCGGCCCTGCCGAAAAGGCTCCAAATTGTCTCCACCACCTCTGGGTGAAGCCTCCACTCCCCCGGTGGAGGCTTGCGCCGTGAGAGGAAATCTGCGACCTGATTCAGGTCTCCTGGCAGAAAGACTGCCTGCAGACTGGCGAGGCGGGGGAGCGCCCAAGGCAAGAGGCTCTGTGAAACACGGAGCAGCTGTGTGGACCTGGTGCCCCCCTGGTGGTTGATTTGGGCAACGGCAGACATGTTGTCCGAACGAATGAGCACATGCCTGCCCGCCAGTTGGGGTAAAAAGTGCATGAGTGCGAGCAACACAGCCCGCAGCTCCAGCACATTGATATGGTGTGCACCTTCCTGGGCAGACCACTGCCCCTGCACAGTCCTGCCCTGCCACACCGCACCCCACCCCGAGAGACATGCATCCACAGTGACCGTCTCCCGGCGGGATGGGATGGCGCCCATAGGCACACCCATCAGAAGATAGGCCCTGTCCCTCCAGCGGGACAGAGAGTGGAGGCACCGCTGAGACACCCTGACTCTCTTGTGCCTGTGCCGCTTGGCGTCCAAGCGAAAGTTGTTCAGCCACATCTGCATGGGGCGCAGTGATAGCATGCCCAAGGGCACAACGGCTGAGGCAGCTGTCAGTCTGCCTAAGAGCCGGAGGAACTGGATGTAAGGCACCCTCTTGCCCAGTCTGAAGATGCGAAGATGGTGGGAAATGTCGTCCACACGACGAGGTGTCAAGTAGGCCCTCATGGCGACCGAGGTAAGTGACCTGTTGGGAAGGGTCCAGGCAACTCTTCCCGGCGTTCACTGTTAAGCCCAACCGGGCTACATGGGATGAGAGGCGCGCCGTATCCTGGGCCACTTGGGCCCGGGACGGCGCGCAAACCAGCCAGTCGTCCAGATATGGCAGGACCTTCATGCCCTGTGCCTGCGGGGGAGCGAGCGCTGCCGCTACAACCCTGGTGAACACCCTTGGAGAGAGGTAGAGACCAAAGGGAAGCACCCGGAACTGATAATGTCGGCCCTGAAAGGCGAACCTCAAGAACTTCCGGTGATGGGATGCAATTGGCACGTGGAAGTAGGCGTCCTTCAAGTCCACGGTTGTGAACCACTCCCCCTGTGTGACAACACGAAGGGTGTCTGCTGTGGTTAGCATATGGAAGGGCAGTACCCTCAAGAATCTGTTGATTCCTCTGAGGTCCAGAACTGGACGGAATCCGCCAACTTTCTTGCTCACAAGAAAGTACGCCAAGTAGAACCCCCCCGCCCTGAAGCAGGGGGTCCACTGGCTCGATTGCGCCCTTGGCCAAGAGGATGGACAACTCTTGGGCCAGAGCTAAGGCCTTCGCCGGGTCGTTGACAACTGTCATACTGACCCGGCCGAAGGCTAGGGGCCGGCGTCGGAACTGCAATTCGTAGCCCTGGGTTAGGGTGGAAATCACCCAAGGGTCGGAAGTACAGGCAGCCCAGTAGCTGAGCTGCTGCTGGGAAAAACAGCCGACGACCGGCCTCGGGACTTCAGGGCCTAGCCCCCCGGCCCCTGGGGGGCGCCGGTAAGGCTCTGAAGCACGAGGCCGCCTGGAAGCCAGGCGACCTGGGGCACGAAAGCCATCGGCCGGTTGAGTGGGCCGCTGGGACCTCTGCAGACCACCCCTGTAAGCCGGTGGCTGAGTGCGGCTGCTAGAGCGGCCCCTGGGCCTGCTGGGAGTGGCCACGGGTCTGCGAAGACCCGAGAGCTGCTGCCTGGTCTGCCTAGCTTGGGCAGCGCGCTCCAGCGCCTCCAGGGCAGCTGACCCAAACAGCTCCCCTGGCACGCTACGGAGGACTCTCCTACATGTCTCCGTCAGTGGTGACTGAGCCAGCCAAACCTGGCGACGAGTCTGTACCAGAAAGGACATAACTCGTCCCAATTCCCTAGTCATTAGGGCAAAGGCCTGCAGTGATGCATCACTGAGGCCCAGCAAAGAAGGCTCGGCCGGAGCCTGCTGCAGCGAGGCGGAGACGGCCAGCATTAGATGGGAGAGGGAGTTCCCGATACGACCCATTCGTGCTGCTGCGTCGTAGGCCCTACAGAGCAGCCCATCTGTGACCCTGCACTGAGGCTGAGGGCACCTGACCACAGGCCTTAGAGCCTCGTCAGGAGCCAGAATCAGGGAGGCGATGGCAGGCTCAATGGGTGGCATGCCACCCAGCCCCACCCTCGCCGGGTCCTGCATGGCAGCCAAGGTCCGGGCATCGGAGCCAGCGTGGCCGAGGGCCCTGGTGTTCCTCCAGCATGCCTGGAGCTCCCTCAGGTACTCCTCTGAAGGAGGAACGGTGAGGGGGACAGGGGCTGGGCTACGCCTGAAGAAGGCACTAGCCTGAACTAAGTCGGCCTGCGGAACCGGAATCTTCAGGTGCGCCAGGGCCGTACGAATAATGACCGCCATGGAGTCGTCATCCACGCCCTGCCGAGACCCCTGAGCAGAGGAGAGGGAAGCCTCCTCGAGCGGGACCTCGTCCTCCGTCTCTTCATTGAAGAGGTTAGCCGAAGCCGCTAGCGACAAGGCATCCTCATACAGAGGTGCGGCAACCGAAGGAGGGGCGGCAACCGAAGGAGGGGCAGGCGGCACACTAGCAGCACCTATACCGGGCCCTGGCTGAAGGGCCAAGAGGAGCGACTTCATTATGTTCATGTCGGTAGCCAGCTGATCCACTTTAGAGGACAGCCTGTTTCTAGTCCTCCTATTGGGGGGGTGCACAAGTCGCCGGGGACGGCCGAACTGATCTGGAGGAGGATGTGACCAAGAGAGGTGTCCGTTGGCTGCCGCCAGCTGTTCCACCTCAGTGAGTCTAGCCATTCTGAGTGCCCGGGGCATGCAGCTACAGTTCATGCAGCCCCTACCGTGAGAGCCTCCCTTAGATGGCCATCCTCGGGCTCAAGAGAAGCCATACAGGCGCTACATGCATGAGCCATTCTGTAGGTAGCCAGACGCAGCGTAGCCGGGAGCGGGTGCGGGAACACAGCCTTCACCAGCTACCTGCTTCACAGAAAGAGTAGAGCCGCGCCGCTACTCGCCAAACAGAAAGAGGGATGTAAGTATACCCACGTTACCGGCAGAGGGAGCGAGAGCACTGCCTTCACCTAGCTGGGTTAATAAATAAGGCAGTTTACCAGGAGCGGGGGCGAGAACACTGCCTTCACTGGTTGAGCTAGAGGCGAGTGCCAGATGCAGCGTAACCGGGAGCAGGTGCGGGAACACAGCCTTCACCAGCTACCTGCTTAACGGGAACCGGGCAATTTAGCGTCTACCAGGAGCGGGGGCGAGAACACTGCCTTCACTGGTTAATTTAAGACAAATGCCAGATGCAGCGTAACCGGGAGCGGGTGGGGAACACAGCCTTCACCAGCTACCTGCTCAACGGAATAAACGAGGCAGTTTAGCGTCTACCAGGAGCGGGGGCGAGAACACTGCCTTCACTGGTTACATTAAACACGAGTGCCAGATGCAGCGTAACCGGGAGCGGGTGCGAGAGCACAGCCTTCACCAGCTACCTGCTTAAAGGAATAAAACAAGGCAGTTTAGCGTCTACCAGGAGCGGGGGGCGAGAACACTGCCTTCACTGGTTAAATTAAACACGAATGCCAGATGCAGCGTAACCGGGAGCGGGTGCGAGAGCACAACCTTCACCAGCTACCTGCTTAAAGGAATAAACAAGGTAGTTTGGCGTCTACCAGGAGCGGGGGCGAGAGCACTACCTTCACTGGTTAAATTAAAGACGAATGCCTACCTGCTGAACGGGAAGAGTAGAGCGGTGCTGCTACTCGCCGAACAAACAAAGGAGATGTAGCTACACCCCAAATCAAGAAGCTTTACACAAGCTAAGACCGGAAACTGGCTTCTAAAGAAAAAACAGCACGGGAAACTCCGGTGCTTAACACGGCGTCAGCCGAGTGGCTGCAGCGCTACTGCTAACTAGCTCAATGCTAATGAAGTTCGCAGAATAAGTACAAAAGCACAGCAAGGGCAACTCCTGGGAGAGGGAGCGGAAACACCTCCGTCACCATAAAAGTTGAAGCCCAAAAAGCAAAACAGACAGTAACGGGACAACTAGGCTGGGAGAGGGAGCGAAAACACTGCCATCACCAACCAAGCCGACACCAACCTGTCCGAACGAAGTCTCTGCGCAGCCAGCCACAGCTCCTGGAGGACGGGTAAACCCGCGGCCCCGACTGGATGAGTCGCGAAGCTGCACGCAGCCAGCTGTTTGCAGAGAATCCTTAACAAATATTCCAACCGAACGAACGCTGTAGGCTACAAAAAATGTAGCCAAGGTACTCTCGCGCAGCGAGAAGATGAAAGGAACAGATCCACTGACGACACTGGCTGATATAGCCGGTGTCACGTGGGTCACAGGTGACTTTGTTGGTATTGGTACTCGAGCTGCGCATGCGCGCGATGGACACATCCAGTGCTAAAGCACCGCCTCTGGCGGTCAGTAGGGACGAAATAGACCCACGGAGAGCACCCAAACTGGACAGCACCATGGTAACAACCTGTCAAACACAAGGCTGCCGAACCCTAAAAGCATGTATTGCTTTATTGTCTATTGTACTCTCAATGGCACCATCATTTATACAATGAACATCAGTTAAGAGGCTTTCAACAAGCGATTGTTAACAAGCTTACTGAGGTCATACCAATTAGGGTAATTTCCTCATAGACTTCTATAAAATCAGACTACTGATCTAGAGAAGTTGCCTCCTGCTGGCTTTGAGAGAGAATACAGGTTTAGGGCACTTTCCCTTTGGTTTCACTTTTCAGACCCAGAGGGTGACTCTTGATTAGAGCCCTTTTTATAAGTGGCCATCAGTAAACAGCATTTAAAATAAGAGATGCAGCTCAAACTGTGTTTATTAGAGGATAACTTCACATTTAAGAAACAAACAACAGCATTTCAGTATATTGAGGTAATGATGGATGTCTATAAGTAACTAAAGTCAAATGTATACAGAAATCAATATACATGCATCTGTGAATGCATAAATGTTATATTCATCATTTTCTAATCAGCCAAGTCTCCTCAGCAAGTTGATCTGTGACCTGTGAAAACTGACATTTTGATATTTCATGATGAAGCATGAATTCCTGATTTTCCAGTTGTTTGTGGTCACTGACAACGATCGCTAGGCAGGTGCTCGTTCTCCGGGAGCCAGGGGGTTCTGCCAAAACACTCTGCGGCCTTCCTGTCGCACTCACAGATGAACATCTCACATTCGTCGTTGTTGCCTATGGACAATAAAGAAAACATTATCAAAAAGCCAACTAATAATTAAAAAAGTATTGAATTAAAAAAATGTATTCTCATTGACATTTAAATATTTGACCCCTGTTGGAATTACCCAAGACAATAACATATAGTATAGTGATACAATTGGTGGGGGAAGTCATATTTCTGCAGGTTTAATAGTAAATGTAGAATTTTAAAAGATCACGTGAGAAGATAATTCACATTGTTTGGGTGTACTCACTGCCGCAGGAGACCTTCATGTTGTCACAGCTGTAGCTGTATAATTCGGTGTAGGGATTGTCAAAGATGGGCCAGCACTCAGAGTGTTGCCTAGCATCCCTGTAACACTTGTCATGCACTTTACAGCACCTAAAAAATCATACGAGATGAAATTCAAACAGACTGAACCAACTCGTTTTTTGTAAGTGTTGTCTGACTCAAAAGCAAAGTGAATAATAACCTGTCCAGATCATCCACAGGTGTGCCGGAGCCTCCCTTTCCACAGTAGCAACCGTAGTCAGTGTAGTCGAAAATTGGAGAGCTATCGGGCATCACACACAGGATCATCCTCCTGAACTGGTTCAAGGCCTTGTAGTCCATTGAGGTGACTGAAGTAAAACAAGCAGACCCCTTAATAATCAACTTCAAGAGACATCTATTCACAACCGCGAGATGAACAGCTTATGTCGAGTCGTACTCACCGACAGAGAGGCCGGCCGCCACGAGAAACAGAACCTGGAGGATATTCATCATGTCAGTCAGCGGGAAGGTCACAGAGTAACACTTACTCTTGCATTGGGCCTTCTTCGTATATATAGTAAATAGGGTCTCCTCCCCTAATCTACGCAGGGGCCCTGCCATGGACTCTAGGATTCCAACAGCATATGTTAAAGCATGTACAATTCTCACACTTATTGAACCCTGAGCCATGTTTGGTTTATTGGTGATTTGCCTATACTAGAGTTCCTCAGCATGGGCTTATGGATCCATGTGCAGGGCTGAACAGTAGATATGGAAATAGTAGTTTTAGTTATGTTTTAAAGGCTTGAAATATATCAACAGCTTCTCGTGAGGGCTGTATTTTATAAAAGGTATTTTTGCCTCTACATGATGAGTCATTGGTAGGATGTGACTGGTACAGCACAATATAAAGGAATGTAAGGATTGGAGGTTGTCATTAACTTTAGTATTCTCCTCTCATGCCACTGTATAAAACCTATTAAAATGAACAGCTGAAACAATAAGCAGATTAACCGATTGACAATACATTTATTGAATTGTTTTCCTGCAACCATAGTAGGTCTTTAAGCAAGCAGACATACATATGCATTGTAACTTTGGTCTGTAGCTAATTATGATATAATGTCTCACTATTGTACATTTGATAAACATTGAAATCTACAGACTAAGCCTTAATTCAGGTTAACATTGGTTGCAGTTCTTTGTGCAAAATGAGTGGAAATACATTGTTAAAATGAGCCCAGCCTCAACCAATGCCAAATCAAATATAAAATCCCTTATAGACATGCATTTATTAGTAATAATGTTTATTCACAGAGGCCATTTCTCTGCATTGGGTACTTCTACTTTTAAGTATTTAAATACAGTTTTCATTATTAGATTGTAATACTAAAAAAAACTAGCATTCAAAGTTAATATCATTAGTTAAGGTTTTAGCTATCTGAAATGCTTAAATTCACATAACCACTCCAAGCTGGTTGTAGCTTAAACATGGTGTCATAGCTCAGGAAATGTTGAGAAATCCTGTTCAAACATGTGTTAACATTATTATGTCACTGAATGTCTTATTTTACACAGCAAGCAGCGTGTACCCTAATGTCCAATATAGAGATAATCATGGGACCGGTCTGCAAGTTGACATATGTACAGAGACGTGAAAAATCCCAGAGTTAAAAGCGTTGGTGATATGAACGCTGATATGATGAGCACTGGGATCAGAGTGTTCAGAAGTACATGTACTGTACAGAGGCAGGAGAAAGTGTCCCCGCACATCTGTGAATTCACATCAGGTAGTCTTCTATTTTTATTTATGAGCCACTATCACAATGTAACTTTAAATGTGGAACTGTTATAAGAATATATATACTTTTGTTTTGCTTGTAGAACATACATCTGTTTGCAGTCCACATATTTATATAATAGTAGTCATTTATTCAACTGTAAAGCATTTATTTTAACATCTCATTTAATGTTACTTTTTCGTTTTTTTTCCTGCATTTGACAAGTGGTGTCACTTCCACCATTTTTTTTCTTTTGATGTCTTAAAGGAATGGTATGCTCATGACACTCATTTAATTTTTTTTATCATCCGATAAAACAGACCAGTCTCTGCCAGTCTCTCTTTTTTTTTTTTTTAATCCGATGACATTATCAGTGATTTTAAACTGATTAATTACCGAAATAACATCAACACTGTGGGCGGCGCCATTTTACCGGACGTGACGTAAACCATGCGTTTGGTTTCGAGGACACGTTGATGTTCATGTTATTTACTGTAGTTACTCTCTTCAAATATGCCTCATTGTATCGCGAAACATTGCCACAATTCTGATAGGAACAATCCACGGAATGCTCGGTTCCATCTGTTGCCAAAAGGTAAGCGTAGGAAGTACGTTCGGAGGCAGTGGCTAGCGAAATGTGGCCGGCCCGAACCGAAAGATCCACAGGCGCATGTATGCAGCGAACATTTCAAGTTTCCGGACGACTACTCTGAGAGTATGATAAAACATAACATGGGATTTATTGAACAACCATTACTTAATGGAGATGCAGTACCATCGGTATTTCTGGTGTCATCACCGACCAGGACACCAGTTCGGCCAGTTGAGAAATCGCCCTCTGCAAGTGTGAAGCGACGGAGGACCAGAAGTAGTGCTCGGAGTAAGAATAAGGTATGTTATGGCGCATTTCCATTGCAGCGGGTAGCCCCGTTTAAACGTCCTTTATCGTCCAGGCCAGGCTTTGGTGGCCTTTCCATATAGCGTAGTACCGGCTAGTGGGTATTTCCCCCCAGTTTTTCCGGCCCCATAAAATCGTGGTTCTAGGGCCAGGGACAACGAGGCTGAGTATGCTAAACTAGAGAGGGAATCGCTAGCAAGGGTGGTACTACATGCATACATATCTAGTAATCAAAATCATTGTATCTACTAAGTAGTACTAAGTAGGCTCGAACCTGTATGGCTGAATTCCCCCTTCCAATCTCTTCATATTGCTCAAAACTTCGCCATGTTTTCGTGTGTTTACAAAGTGAACGCATGGATGACGTCACGGCCATCACGTGACTACTGAAAATGGGCAAAATGGCAGCGGCCTGACGGAATATACAGGTTTTGATAAAAAAAGAGCTATAAAATCATTATTTACCGGGGAATATCGCTGATTTCTTCAGGGTATGGTTTAAACATAATGTTTCACTAAATACTGAAGTTTTGATTAATTATCTAATGAGTGGAGCATTCCTTTAAAGGTCCCATGTCATGGTCATGTCTACTGACCATAATTCCATTGTTGAGGTCTACTAAAATAGATTTACATTGTGCAATTTTCCAAACTCACATTGGTTTCTCATACAGCATCTCTGTATAGTATGTGTATTCACTCTGTCCTAAACGGCTTGTTGGAGCTCCTGGGACTTAAGCTTTGTATTGCCAAACTACTCTGAAGCTGAGTAAATATGACAATAAAGCATTTGAATGTTGAATATTTTAACTGTCTTTGATGGAGCATATTTTCTCTACTCAATTAACGGACTCTCCTTGAATCAACGTTGGTATGAATATTTAAAAAGAAAGACCACACTTTCCCTTAAAAATGTATTTTATAGGTATTTATTCTGCTAAAATGTTAACCATTCCAAAATAAGGGAATGTTTTGTTTTTTTAATAAACTTTACTAACCAGGCCAAGCATAATAGACTTCAAATTAGAACCAAACGAGGACTGATTGATGTCACCTGTGTCACTAATTCCAGAGGTCTTCCCTGATTGGCCACAATCATCAGGTAACAGGAAGTAAAAGGTTGATCTGTTTGTCACTCTGAAACAAAATTGAGGCAGGCCTGTGTGTTGAGAAGTTTTTACCTGAGCATTAGTTTGCAGAGGACTCTAGGCGATACACCTACTGAAATTGTTTGTCTTTTATTTTTATCGCCATTTTAACTTTATATCGGCAACTGCGTTATGATCCAATCCCTACTCACTCTAGCAATAAACTCAAGCACCTCATGGTGTTTTAGTACTTTATTGCCAGGCATATTTCAAATAAACGCTTTAAGTGGCAACAACTTGATTTTAATGTTCAACTTATTGGCAAAAATCTGCTTTGAACATAATTCGAAAAGATTCAATTACATCTTCATAATGACCGTTTAGTATACTGTGTGTTTTCATTGTCTTATCTTTTTATTTCAGTTATTTGTTTTAATGTTGAGCACTTGGGGGATAATGCTATTTGTTATGGATGATGTGTGTTAAACAACCTTGGTCTGGTCCATCATAAAAGTGGACTGAATAAAAAACATTACCTTCTACACATGGAACTGTCTGACAATTACTTAATTCTATGTATACTTTATTTGTAATCATGACTTATGTAGAGTCAATTATTTATTAACCTAAATAGCTACTGTAATGTTCAAAAACACAACAAACTGCTTGTGAATTTGTAACGGAATCTTTAATACAAAAGTGTACACATCAGCTTGGTTCAAAGGGTAAGCAACACTTTTTTTAAATGATATGAAATTATTTCAAAACCTAGCATTTGAAATTAATAAATGATCACCATGTTAGATCTCAAACAAAAGCAGAAGTAACAAACAAAGGAGATTGTCAGTCTCTACTGGCCTGTAGCTTATGATACATGGATGTAAATAGATGCTACAAATCCTATCTTAAACTTAAAACACATTCAGGACCTTCAAACTTCATGGAATACATGAACAGTACAAACATGTTAACTATAAAAAATGCATTATTAACTTCACTAACGGTTTGTCACAAGATCCAATACTGGTCCCTTCATCAAGTCTTTTTTCTACTATTTCTAATAATATATCTTTTTTTCCCTCTTTTATATGTCTGTTTCATCACATTCTGAGACAGATTTAAAGCTGACAATTGATTTCTGGAATGCACTTTTAAAAAATGAATGAAAATGATGTTTTTTAGTGTAAAGACCACTAAATAAATTAAAAAGGGTTGGCATTCTTCTCCTGATACATCGTCGTCCTGCAAGTGTACATACACTGTATGCATATTCTACATTAGAAATGAACCTTGTTGTAGTGGAAAGCTAATAAACATTAGACCAAATGTTCTCAACAAATTAAAAAAGTGTTGGTCTAAAACTAACTTACCACCGCAAGTCAAAAACAAACCACATCATCAAAAAAAACTTCACAAATGATATAAAATATCTACTGTGTGCTTTATGATTAACACTGAACAAAACGCTATGATAAACAGTGGAGAACTGCTGCAGTGCATTGAATTCTTCTTTGACCTCGACATTCACATTCTTGATTGTACCTTTGTCGTCTCAATCATGGGAAACGCTACAGCGACCTCGTGTAATTGAGGACTTTCAGTCACATTTTCGAACCATTACCACTCCTCCTCGTGTCATGTCTGTCTCTTTACCACAAACAACCTGCCTCTAAATGTCTTATAGCAGAAAAGAAACCTAGAGAAGGTTTTCAGTGAACAAATATAGGCAGATTATGTAGGATTGGAGTGTACAATAACTGAGTGTACAAAATATCATCTCAGAGCTGTTAGCCTCTTATTAGCTAAATGTGAGATTCTCATCCAGGTGATAAGTCCTGGATTTCCCTGCTCTCTATGTTACGGAGCTAATATTTTGTTACACTCGTTAAAAGGATTTGAAGCGCGGTCAGATGGGCTTGTATAATAAGGTGGTGACGTATTTCTTCTTGTAGCGATGTGTCGCACTGAGCACCATCACTCCATCCTGTAACAGAAGCAGTCATGGGAAAATTCAAACAATGCATTACATTTCAGACAAATATGGGAAGAGTGGTATCAATCATACTAAGTGCAGAGCTGTAAACCACAGACATAAGTGGGAAGAACACTAACGAACACTCACTTATCTCAACAACAAGGAGGAGGAAAATGAATATCCAACGCTACTAGATTCTAGTGTGGTCGGGTACAAGTGTTTGTTTTTCCCCCCATGAAGTCTGACAGTGATGTTGGTATTTATATCCTTACGTGCATGTTCAGTTTGTTTTTCCTGACACAATGTGGAAAAAAGGGTAATTTATCTGTCCTTCATCGCCCCTTACAGGAACTCGTTATCATTGTTGGAATGCCGTGGATACAATCTGCTGTGTAAGCAAACAGCTGCAGCCGCTCACAGTTTCCAATCCAAAAATAAAAAACGCTAGCAAAGCTGAGTCACCGCAGAAGGTGGTGCCACATTTGAACAGTCACATAATGCTGGAAGATAGCAATATCTTTTTGTAATAACGTACCTTAATGGAGAGAGCGTAGAGGTGATTCAGCATGACATGGTTGGGTTCTGGGAGCAATGCAGGGTCACACTGGATATGAGAAAAAACAAAGGAAAACATATTTGTTCATCTTTATGAGTGATTTTCATAGTATACACTTGTCAAATGTATGTTTGCTATTTTTGCATTTATTTGATATTCTGTAGATATTTTTCTGATGTTGTAGATGTCGCAGATTTTTGTTTATTTTTGAATTGAATACTGGTTGTTGTAGCCTGTGGCTCAAGTATAAACACTGATGCTTAGCAATTGTCTATGATCTTTTTTATTACATTCAAGTACATCTATTTTTTAAGGATGTACCAGTAAGAGCACAAACAAAAGAGAGCTAATAGTTCATAATAAAAAAGCTATATAAGCCTTATAGAGCTACTGATTGCACTTATTATAATGAATTAAAGACTCAGCTAAATTAAATGTAATCATAATAATAATAATTGCCATAGATGCTTTTTGTTATCATTTTTTGGCAAACAACAAAGGAAAGGTTCATATTTGAAGATTATAGATCTAAACGGATTTGACAGTAACAGCACAAAATAGAGAATACGTATTTCTAAAAGTACCGGAGTGGAATAAGCTTCTTTATTTTAACAGTTACTCACAGAAATGCCAGTGTCTTTGTTGAGGATGACCTGCAGCAGGTGGGGGGGGAGTATGGGTGGAGACTTAAACTTCTCTTCCTGTTTAGGAACATACGCGTCCTGATGGTAGGGCCCGGGAGGAGAGCTGGAGAGGTCTAATGAGGGGGGAAAAGTTTAAATGAGACCGAAGATATTAACTTTCAAACATTTCCACACTCCTATTAGAAAACGTGTAATCTCTATAGAACTCCAGGATCATGGTAAAATAGTTAACTATGAGGTTTAGTTATAGGTTAGATTGTACAATGTTAAAAGCAGTCTGGAGCTGGGGATGATACAGAACAGTAAATTACTGTACCATCAGCATAAAAATGACAATTTGCATTTCAAATAATGTTATTAAGACTCTTTATATGAATAATAAATAACAATGGCCCTAAAACCGATCCCTGTGGCACACCCTTGGGTACATGAAGAGATGTAGAAGTGATACCTTCTGCCCGATAGTTCTCAAACCAACTATCCGAAAGATCGATATGAAAGAGTCTTTGTGACAGTAAGGCATGATCCACTGTATCAAAGGGCCTTTTTTTATAGTGGCTGGTAGGGCTGTTCTAAAATAACTATTGCGATGCTGCATAGATTTTCCAGCCTACAAATCATAAACAATAGCTATAAGCACTATGACCATTTAAAATATATTCTTGAATGATAGAATAGATCTAGAAAGAAATACATATCCTTTTTTCTGTAATACCCAGTTAATAATTTCAACGTGTTTTTTTCAGCACTCACCTGACATGTCGGAGCATTTCTGCGAGTCCACCATTAGAGCTTCGAACACCTCAAAGTCTGTTTTCTTCACCTGGATGAGGTTGTTCACTGTCCCAAGCTGACTGGTTACAACAGGCTGTGAGGAAACACAACGACCAGACACAATATCATTTCTATGATGAAAAACTAGTTTAATAAAAACATGTTTACATGCAAATAACATGTTAACATTGAACAATAGCAGATAAATAAGCAGGGCATTTTAACTGTCTCCTACTCCGCAATTTCTTATTTGATGACTGTAAAAATGATCACCAAGTCCATTATAGTTTCTTATGTAATGCTGACCTCGGTCGGGTCGTGGGTCCACTGGCCATCCACATAAAACTTGTACTGATGCTCCCCTTCAGGTAGATCAACAATAGTCACAAAGGTGTTCTGACTTTGACACAGATGACAGGAGGGAACATTTAGTGAGGTAACACAGTACTTCTCTTTAAAACATCAACCACTATAAAGGCGCTATTAATACAACAAACTTAATCTAGTAACAATACAATGTGCTATTTTGGGCACCAACAAAATCTGAGCTAGCCTGTATTTTAAAAACTGTAAAGATCTTTCCATTGATTAACTAGTAATGAATATAGACTACAATAAAGGAAATGTAAAACATATTTCAACCACATCCCAAGTACACTACACTATGGAGTTTATGACGCCCCCTCACCTTCTGATGAGGGGAATCTTGTTGGCCCAGTTGTTGAAGGATCCAGAGATGTACACCTCCCTGCCGTCTCCGGTCCAGCGAAACACTGTCGGTCGGTCTAAAGTTGGCCCTTTGTCATCTGCTTCTAAGTCTTGCTGCCATGCGAGGAACTCCTCTTTCTCTAACGGAGCCTAAAATACCCATAAAACCACCATTGTTAATAGAGTGGTGCAGGAATGAGTTCTTAGCCTGGACCTGAGTTAGCATTGGTATACTTCCGGGTTCCCATGTATTGAAGTCAACGTGTTTTTTAACAATGTTTTTTATCAGATGCATGAAAGTAGTTAAATACAAGATTTTTTACCTGAAGCCTTTAAGTGTCTTAAAAAAGGCGGATGCTAAAAAGTGACCAAATGAGATTTTTACTAACTGTAATAACGCTGAACATTACATGCCTTTATCTTAGCGGTGGTGACTTTAATATCATTACTATAGCTCTTTTCTTCTGGCTATTGCATTTATACTTTAACAACTATACAAGAGGTGTTCATATGTGAAGATTTTCCTGCTGAACAAAATGTGTAAGACTCATAAATGTGTGTTTGCCATAGATCTTATTTTCTGCAATAGTCCAAACTCCTATTGGCTTTTTGTTGTTTTCTTGCAATGCTAACTTCCGGCTTCGTTTACAAAAACACGGCAACACTGCGCCGCTATATGACCTTTTCTAAAATCCTCACAACAGGTTATTCAAACAACTTACTTTCATATCTTCACCATGAAAAATATCTGCGTCTTCCGGGCTGTCCATCAGGATCTTTGGCCCGCCTCCCTCCTTGTTTCCCCGGCTGTCCCTCCGCTTCTCCCCATGGCCCATGGCCGCCCTCTCGCTGCTTGTATTCCCCATGGCGATGTGTCTTCTAGGAGGCTGGAGCAAGGTCACTGTGTGGGGAAGAAACAGAGAACACATTCTTTTTTAAAATAAGGTTATTAATCATTCATAGCTGCTGCTGGAGAACCAGCTACAAACGCTTATTTTTAAGACCTCATCACTCACATAAGAAAGATAAAAAGTGTTTTACACCGTGGGCACTATTTAGAGTGATTTACAATGTGGAACAGCAGAATAGGTTCAGTCAAATGAGTGGATAGCAAATTACAAGCAGCAGTGGGTCGGAACCATGTCAAATGGACTTGACAGGCTTATGATTTACTCCACTTCAGAGACGTGGCCCTTTTTACTCCCCTACATCATCTGACAGCTACCTTTAACACTTGTTTGCAGGATGGGGCTTTATAAATAACAGGAAACTGAAAAGTAGTGTGGAAATGTGTTTTTGTTTGGTTGTGTAAGGCTCAAGGTTATCCTCACATATCATTTATTTTCCGCATAGAATGATATACATAAAAGATAAATAAGACAGAGAATAAGTTTGAAGTGATTTACACTTTAGACATATATCTCTATACTAAAAACCTTTTTTGAGAAAAAAAAACATATCTCACAATCGACTCCTACTGGGAATTGGCTTTATTATTCTTATATTGCTTATATGTGTATTCTATGTGTTTCAGCTCCATGTAAAACGTCTTGCTGCACTACCAGCTGCGGTACTAAGCGATGGTAACATGACCTTGACAAAAAAAGAGGCAGACATGTTTTTTAAAGTAATGGATTACCTATTTCCAGGACGTTTCAAGTCAGTGGAATTCAGTTTCATACCGACACCAAGTAGGTGACATTGAAAACTCACTGGAAGGTGCACTGTTTAACAGCAACAGGATATTTACACACACTTGTTGAGATATATTTTGTTCAGTTATAGGTTAACATGTGATCAATGTGTCACTACATGAAATCAGTTAAATGTGAGCCTAAATGGAGTTCAGTGTCTTAATCTGGCTCAAACACTGTATGCATACAGTATACACTTAGTGGCCACTTTATAAGGTGCATATGTACAATTTAGTACAATCAAAGACAGTTCTGCCTTTAATTATCCTTTTTTAGTTCCTCCTGTAATGTTCTTTTGCCCTTATATAGTGGCGTTAAGTCAATTAAAGGTTTAACATTGAGGCAATAGTCAAATTTAAGAATATGTAACGGCTTTGCTTTAACTGCCTTCCTGTTGATGAAGGCTATTTTCCACTGCTGATATAATCTGTGAGTACTGTTTACACCACTAGTAATGGTGTAATAACAACCTTAGTGAGTGAGACGATAATATATAACCACATGTTGTATTATGCAGCCTTTAAATTACTATTATTATCTACCTGTATAGTGCTTTGGTGGACTGCATTTCAATTGAACATGCAACGCAAAATGATGTTGACGTTAGCCCCTAGAGGTAGGGACCCCCGGATGGCTAACGTTACACTTGCTCATCTTTAAACCTTATATTAAAGAAAACGTTACTACCTGGTTGGGAATAATAGCTTTATTAGCAAGTAACTACTAAACGGTAGGTTGTTTAGTTTGACTCATATCTGAGGCAATAGGAGGTACCGTGTTGTTTACTAAAGCTAACAACAGCTAGCAGCTAGCCTCAGTGTGTTCTGCAGCGGCTGGACGTCCTGCTAACGCAAACATACAAGCTGCTGATACTAGCTGCGACATAGGCCTAATTCTCATTTGACAAACGAAAACAACGAATGCACAATGATAAATACTCGTATTCGGTGAGCTTTTTACCTGAGAAGCTTTTCGAGAGTATCCTTGTTAGCTTAACTGTCCCATTTTATTATGGATAGAAAACAAAACATATGTCACACTGAATAACCCTAACCCCTCCCCCTGGTGTGCGCAGGCGCAGTGGATTGACAATAAATAAACATGATACACTTTAACATGTGACTTCTGAATTCTCACACAATATATTTGTTCACCATATGCACTTGATTTTGTTTAAACAGCTAAGCTATCTGGCTGTAGTATTTTAATGATGATTATATTTGAAAGGCTGTAGCACTGACATGTAACTGCATATATTGGCCACTAGGTGGATGCATGGGATAAGTAGAGTGATGATGTACAGCTCTTTGTGTTTGGTGAAGATAAAAGCCTTCATTTCTAATATAGATACTTCAAAGAAAATAATGCCATTGTTAGAAATAGCATCCAAACAAATGTATATGATATATTGGCACACTTTCTTAATGTAATCTCCATGCAGCCACAAAAATCAGTCAGGAAATGTGTCAATTCTGCTAAGAAAATGTTGGCATAGGATGAAGAACATAGACAAATTAAGATAATGGTATGCCTGTAAATATCCATTTATACCCATACTGTACATATTATAGGTTATTGTGTGTTATGTAGGGCTAAAACATTGTACACAATTGTATAGTAATGTTGAACAATTATTTGAAATTAGGGTCTGTAGTTCTGAATGTCATGCCACTCATTAATGATTTATTTGAGCTACCGATAGTACTTTTATCCTAATTAAGGCTGCAGATGGACAAAGAAAAAACAACAGCTTTGCGTCAGTCTTGACATTTAGCATGTTGCCATTCACATAAAAGGTCTCTACGTGGCCTTTAAACTGTGGAGGTCCAGCTGTAACAATGCCTTATAAGGTTATAAGGCCACACTTTGCTTTCGATGAGTTCCTGAAATATCACACTCTCTAGAGACAAGATGATGAAGCACATTATTTAGTCTTATGTCAGGAAGCTAAATCTGATCCTAAGTCAAGTGCAAGACTGCACACGACACGTAGCTGTTGCTCTATTTAAATGCTTAGCCACCAGCATTTTCTCTTAACAGCTTATTGGGAACGTGTGGACTGTGTTTTCAGCTTGCAGAGTCGTGTTGAGCGGCAGCAATGTATTTTTTATCTTTTTTTTGTTCCCTCACCATTCACTTACTAACTGCTCCGATTCTCTATTCCTCAAACTTTGCCACAGATTGTATTCAACTAATGATGTTCACCCCCCAAACGGCACTCCAACAACCTCCAGGCACAGTTTGATTCTGGCACATAATGAGGAGCTACATTAAAATGTGTCCAGCAGAGATATGTGCACTGCATGGCCGTTGGATTCCACTGGACCATTTGAAAACAGAAGAAACTAAATTTCACAAGGCCCTATTATCGATGTGTCAGAGCAAACACAGACCCAAATGATGGGCATGGTCACAGTCGATTGCAGTGCGCAAATGTTATACCACGACAGCTGTTCAATTATAGAGGTGTAATGTTTCCCTCCACAGCCTTTATGCTTAGTAATAGCCAGCTTATATTGTTTATTTCACCTCAGATGGCTTCTTATCTGGGATAAAAAAGCACTTTTATGACATAAGCAATCAAGAGGTCAGTTCATGTTTGATAAAAATGTATATGTGCATGTTTTTAGAGTATGAACTTTAACAAGGGCTCTTAGGTTGCGAGAGCAAGGAATGGTAGACGGCCATTAACAAACCAGACGGCTGTGCTTGGGGCACGACAGCAGAAGAGAGTGGGCTTTAAGAATGAGGTCAGCCTGGCTGGTGGGATGTGATGTTTTTTGCTTGCATGTGGAGGTGGATCTAAAAATGTATTGGCAAGATGGTAAGGCATGTTGATAAACAGTTGGTAATGGTAGAACAAGAACTGAGGTGGGAGTGCGTTAACCCTGTCTTGGATTACTTTATTACTTCAAAAGCTGTCTTTTCTGGGTTTTTAATGGTTGTGAATAGAGCCCCCATTAACATTCCACCTATCTATTAGAATAAATAAATTGACACTGACTCCCAAAACAACACATAACACTGTTCTATTTATCGTTGTGAAAGTGAAATCTTTGTAAAGGCTTGAAAAACGTATTGTGTTAAGGCAGTTAAAGTACTTGGTCATGTTAAGGCTAACAAACTACATGATTATGTTTTGGCAATGAAACTACTCATTTATATTTAGACAATCAAGAAACTTGGCAATGTTTTTTGATTTAAACTACCTGGTTATGTTTAGTCATTGAGACAATTTGCATAATATGTGTAGGCTAAAGAACTACTTGGTTTGGTCCAGGTCATAAAACAACTTTGTAGGTTTATGAGAAGATCGTGGCTTGGGCAAAAGCTATGTGCAAGACATCGTTTTCAAATGCGATTTTCAATATTTATCACTTGAATTCACACTTTGATAGAATCTCACTCCAAAGCCGAAACATAACCCTAAAGCCCAAACTTGGAGAGTTCTCAAAGCCTCATTAGAAATCCTAGATTGGCCAACGGACCGGTTGATGAACTCCGTGATGTGACAGATGTGCTGACATTTTGCTTTCTGGCACGCTTCCGCAGAGCCATGACCCACCGTCACAGTTGTTTACCATCACTCCTCCCCTGCTGAGAAAAGACAACACACAGCAGCCGCCAACAGCACCTCAGCCAACAGCTAGCCCTGATATGCTCTCTGTAGGACACGCCAGATAACCTTTCTGTGCTCCTCTGGATGATTACACATGGGCGGGCGATGACTCACAAACCAGCACTTGTTGCCTTGGCACTCTTACAGGCTCACATCTGTGCAGGCAACACACTTGACGCTCTTGAATTCATGAAATTGTTCCTCTGTCAAACACTGAATAAAACCATGTTTAATTCAAGTGCTTACATTTCATTATCTTCCCTATTTTCCCAACAACATGAAACAGGTTTTGGTCCATGCTACTTATTTTGAACCCTTCTAAGCATTTTAACCAACATGAAATGGGTTCCAGAGCACAGCGTTGGCTATAGAACTCCAGGATCACGGTAAAATAGTTAACTATGAGGTTTAGCTCCAGATCCATAGCTAATTTTGGGGAAATGGTTAATAATTTGTTCACACTGGAAAAAAGAAGAACTACAGGATAGAAAATATTACGTTTTATTTTTTAGAAGGCTCAGTGTGTGTGTGTGTGTGTGTGTATGTTTGTGTGTGTGTGTGTGTGTGTTTGTTGATCCTGTCCTACCACCATTTCTATATGCTCCTTGATACCTTTTTCATCTACACATCTGTTTCCAATCAGTCTCGTTAGTCCCGCCTTACTCCCAGAGTTTTTCACAGCCAATCAGCTTCGTGCCTGCTCTCCTGTCTTATCACCTTATACCCCTCATCTGAGCTTCTTCTCCCTTATCTCCACCTGCACTTCATCCCCTCATCAGATGTGTTTGTATTTAAGTCCTGCTGGTTACATTTCAGTCTTTGTTTGATCCTTGGCTTTGTTCTGATAACTGTTGCCTCCACAAACCTTGAATATAAAGTTATTACTTCCAGTTTTTGTAGCCTTTAGTCTTGGGTCCACCTTTTTCACGTCAACTAATTAAAGATGGATCGATTTACTGTTGGTATTTGAAATGAATGGGAAACACTGGGGGCATTTGTTGTATTTTCCTTAAAAATATATTTATTTACATCTATTTTCAAATAAATGCTCAACTAATCACGTTTTTTGAGAGGGGGTTGAGCACGTAAAACAACACAGAGGCTCTATTGTCCAGAAGGCACATTTTATTGACTTTAACCTTGACAAAGGCAACGCATAGTAGAATCATTGATGGTGGTCTGCAACTTCATTAAGCATTTATTTACAGGGATTGGTTAGCAATAAGCTTGGCTATCAGGGGGAACATTTAGTAAGGATACCCACCGACGGCCTGTATGGTAGTGATGGCGAGATGAAGCCTTATGAAGCTTTCCAGCCAATTGATTCGCAAAAGGTTCGATACAAGCCTCGATACACGCTTCACCAAAAACATCCTGGATTACTCTAACCACACTCAGAAGCCTTGGCGCAGTACGTAACTTCACTAGTATTTATTTACCTGTCACATCCAAAGCCCTAGACATTTATTACTCAGCAGGAAATGAACATTTCACACTGCTTGCTTAAAGCCTGATATATAAATTGCATCTTGTAGAAATGTGCTGTGGTCTAATAGAAGTTTTAAATAACTGGAACTTTTGTTGTATGGATAGTTCCACTGACACATCCGTGAAACCAGTCTCAAGTCAATATCCTCAGTAAATTCAGGTTAAAGATTGAATGTTAAAATGTTCTTACCCCAAAATACTATTGCTCTGTATGTGTGTCTTATTATGTATACAGTCAGTAAGGGTTTATTTAAAAAATATATGTTATGTTAAAGAACAGAGCAAGACAATTGACACAAAAGTGGTGACACTGCTTCCACTGTTTTATGTGCTGCTGTTTTAAATACATGGCCTATAATCAAACTGTCAAGTCAACTTTAAATGTCACCCCTTTTCAACTGTTGTCTCCGCTCTCTGAAAGTCTACTAGGCCTTTTCTGAGGCATACAGAGCGGATCATAAGCTGGAAATCCCATCTGACAGGAAGGCTGCCTCTTGGAGCTTAAAAAAGTATTTCATATCATCCAAGTCATTTGTGAGGCTGTTTGGGTGGGACAATCTTGGATTATTTCACAGTGCAGCTTTCACTTTTGACTCAGCATTTAATGCAGCAACTAGCCCGGTCAAGAACCACATCATCAAATCTGTTATGAAACAATTACATAACATCCTCATATAAATGATTTCTCTCCCACACACACTCTTCTCAATTATGTGTGTCTTTTATCTCTTCCTCTTCTGCTTTGTATCTGTGTCGTTCTACCTGTGTTGTGTTTTTCTTAATTTACGGTACGGCTACGCTGAGGATTCAGTGTAGCTTTGTATATATAGTACATAAGGGACTACCTGGTTAATTTAAATTGTTAAAAATCAATTGAATGAAATTGTATTGATCAAAGAGACAACAATGTTTGGAATGATTCTTATCCTGTCAAATATGAAACAAATAAACTGGAA